GGAGTCGGCGTTGGCGTCGGCGCCGGGCCGGGCGCGGCGGACGCTGACCCGGGCCGTGCGCCGCTCCAGTGCCCCGGGCGCCGGCTCCGGCCCGTTTTATGCCCCGCGCCCGACACCCCGGCCGGGGGCCTCCTCCTCTGCAAACGGGGCGGCGGCGGCGGCTCGGCGAGGGGCCGGGCTGAGCCCGGGGGGTCCGGCCCAGCAGCGGCGGCCCGGATCGCGAGTGGGGGAGGGGAGGGAGAGCTGGAACCCGGCGGGAGGGGGGAGAGGGCGGGGAGGGGGGGGGCCGGGGCGCACGGGGGGGGGCGGGCCTGGAGCCCCCCTCCGCCGACAGTCGCAGGGTGGATGGACCAGAGATGCGTGTCCAGCCTAAGACGGGATCCTCAGGCCAGGGAGGGGCAGAGGTGGGGCCTGAGGCCTGGATTCCTGCTGAAGGATGAAGACTTGTCTGCGGGTGACAGCCGAGCTCTCCCTGACTCTGGGCCCACAACACCCCTGTTCCCTTGGCCCTGGCTCTCACTGCCTTTCCATCCTTTCTGAGTTGTCCGCATTCGAGAGCTCCCCAGCACAGGGACTTGGCCAAAAACAGGCGCTGTTTCGCTTCGGTGGAGACAGAGTTTTCTTCTCCACTGCAGCTTGCCCTCAAGCCCATCCCACCATCACCCTCGCACTTTGTCACCCTCTTCCTTTGCCCGAAGGACCCTCTTCCTCTCCAGCCCACCCCCAGCTCCTTTGTCCCGGTTTTCTGGTCATGTTCCTTGTCCCCTCCCACCTCACACCCCCACCATCCTCCCGACCAGCCCGGCACCCTCCTTCCTAATCGCGGGAGGCATCTCGTCTGGCTGAACTGCAGAATTCCGGGATCTAGGCCATACTCCTTCACAGACAGCCCCATCCTTGGAAGGAGGAACAGGAGAGAGCCTGGGGGGAAACAGGGGTGGGGGGTACAGGTCAGGAGCCCCTGAAGACAGAGGCTGTGGGAGACGGACACTGAGGGGAAGGCAGAGCAGCGAGGGCCAAAGAAGGGCGCTGGCAGGGAGAGATTTGGAGGGGAAGTCCAGGTCCTTTTCCGAGACAAGGACACACGGCACAGAGGTCAGGGGCCTTAGCTGTCCAAGCCCCTGAGCCCCAGCAGAAGAGCACCGGAGCAGCACCCAGTCCCTCAAGCGGTCCACACCCTTCTCCTGTAACAGGACCCCAGCGAGATCACTCTCTCCATAGGCGAGAACCCAGATTTCCCAGTCGAAAAGAGGACCGACAAGAAGGTCTCCTGGAGGAGGGCGGGGCTATAAGAAAGGAAAACAGGACACAGGAGTCCTATTGGATTTTGACAGCAGGTGTGGTGTCCAGGGAAAAGAAATTTGGATAGCCAGGAACTGAAAAGCCCACCAAGCTAAAATGTTACCCCCGGGGATGAACATGCGGCTGGCCAGATCTCTCCTGGACAAAAGCTCTGCTCCGCTTCCATCTCTTCCCCAGCCAGGTCGCATGTCCCACAGAAAAAATGGATCCCCCTCTGTAAATGCTCCCTGCACATGGGTGGAGGAGCTGGGCTTCATTAGTGGACCATGGTCCAGAGCAGGGGATCCAGGCCCAGCAGGGGCAGGAGGAGAAGGCGTCACTTCCGGGTGCCTTCGCCAGTGTCCGGTGGCTCTCTGCGCTCTGATTGGGCAGAAGTGGCCGGGTCAGACGTGTGACCCCACTGCTATGGAAGGGCTGTGCCCCAACGCCACATGTCTTCCTACTCATCTGCTCCCCAGAGTGCTGTCCGCCGTTCGCCTGGTTCCTTAAGCCCTTCTCCCCTGGGTGAGTAGCAAGCTGGGTTGGTGCTGGTGAGGGTAGGAAGGACAGGACAAAGTGGGCTCTCAGCTGGGGGAGGGGCAGGCCAACTGGAACCTAGAGGCACTGACCTTTGTCGAGAAGAGTGTAGCTTTCCCAGAATGGGAGGAGCAGGCAGCAGGGCTAGGGGGTGGGGTGCTGGTTTCAGAGGGACTGATCACAGACATGGTGGAATACACCACCATCCTGGCTGGCTCTAGGAAAAGGAGACTAGGACCCAGGGAGAAAATGAAGGAGCCGCGTGTAGGGTTAGAGAACCCAGCACCAAGATGGACACAGCCCCAGTCTCCATTCTTACCCAGTCACTCCTTGTTAGCTTAAGGTTCTGAATCCTGGGACTGAGGAAGCTGGATCAGGCAAGCCAGGGCACAAGGAAGAGGGTAAGGGGAGGAGGACTTGTGTATGTTGACAGACCTACAGGAAATCCCAATATTGAATCAGGTGCAGACCTCTTTGCACAAGTTGTGAAAGGAGGAGGAAGCCATGTGGGGGGTCCTGGGAAGGAACCGGAAGGGGTCTGCAGAGGGGGCAGAGGGGCAGGTGCAGCTATGAGACAGATAGGCTGGCTGCTGTCTCAGGTGCAGTAAGCCATGTAACATGGGCATCATCTCACTCAGCAGGTGCCCATTCCTGGGCCACTTGCCTCAGGAAAGAAGTCCCAGGACTGTTAGCCCATCTCAGTTTTTCAGAACGTGGATTGCAAAGAACAACTCCAGGAGGCTTTATGTGTGGGTAAATAGGGAAAGAATGAGAGGCTGATGTTTTGCACCAGCTTTTAATCCCTGCCTTCTGGTGGTCCCAGTTGCCTCTTTGCTCAATTCCCCCTCAACACATTATGCACATTCGCAGCTTCCTCATCCTGCCCCTGGATTCCATTTTGCATGCTTCTCCAGGTTTGCGCACAGTTCTCCCCATCGGTGTCCCCATCCCAGATTCTCAGCCCTGACAACCGAGCTCACTCAGAATTGGAAACCAATTAAGCCGTGTGTGTCCGTGCGTGAGTGTGTGTGTGTGTGCGCGCGCGCGTGTGTGTGATGTCCTGCTGCCCTCAGCAGGTGTGGGAGGTGTGGGGGGCACTACGCCCAGAGTCACTGACAAAGAAACCACACCATTTGCTGCAGTCACAGGAAACTGCAGGGACAGCTCTCCCAACATCTGCTCCCCCTGCTTTCAAGGCAGTCTGCTCCTTGAAACTTGATGAATTGGCCACTCTTCTTGTCACTTACAGGATAGAGTCCACCTGTGCCCCACCCCACTCTGCCCAGAAGTGCAAGAGCCCAAGCCGCCTCCATGGCCCCGGGAAGGATTCAGGGGAGAGGCCCCATACAGGGAGCCCCTCCAGCCAGACACTCCAGCCAGAATGCAGCTGACTGGTGAGAACTCGCTCAGGGACAAGGGCCAGCCTGGAGCATGGCAGGGGAGGCAAAGAGACATTGTGGGGCGGGGGTCCACTCTCCAGGGAATCAATCCGGTGCTGCTCCTCGGAGCCCCTGGATTCAGGTCTGGGTCCCGCATGGGAAATCCTGGCCCACCACCCTACAGTGATTCCTCCCTTATCCGCCTCCAACCTTTCAACCTCATTTCTCCTCTTCTAAGAATTGCTCCTGGCGGTCCTTCTTCTTACTGCAAGACTAACTCTGTCCAGCCCAGCTCCACCTGCCTGTGACCCCCGACTCCTACATAAACTGCTTCGTGACTCTCATGTCCTTCATGGCAGACTGGTAAGTACTCCACGCACTAGCCCTTCTGCCCACTTAGATGATGAACTGCCCTCACCTGCACCACTTTCTTACACTCCCTGACCAATGACTGTGCCTCCAATGTTGTCTTTGGTAAGACCACTGCCACCAGGCATGGTGGCACATGCCTATAACCCCAGGTACACAGGAAGCTGAGGCAGGAAGATTGTCAGTTTGAGCCCAGCCTGGAGAACTTAGCCAGACCTTGTCTCAGAAAAGAAAAGAAAGGGGAAAAAAAGGTGGCAGGGGCTAGGAGTGTACCTCAGTGGTAGAGTGCTTGCCTGGCATGAGCAAGGCCCCAAGTTCAATCCCTGCACCCCCCAAAAAAAGACTTCTGCCTACTATTGATCACTTCTGGCAAGGACTGTGATTTACACTAGAGCCTTTCTTAGAAGCTCTAGTCTGGACATAGTGTTCCAGGGAGACTGTCCCAGCTACTGGGCCACCAACCCCTCCCTTATTTCAGCTCCCTTCTCCCCCCACCCATCTTTCTCAACAGAGCCAGTGCCCAGACGTTAACCCTTTGTCCACACCTGTCCTGCTGCCTGCTGTGGACTTCAGCTTGGGAGAATGGAAAGCTCAGACGGTAAGAAAGCCATCCGGGACCTGGCGGTGTAGCTCAGTGGTAGAGTGAGCACTTGCTTGGCAGCATGTGTGAGGCTCTGGCTTTGGTCCCCAACATCAAAAAAGAAGAAAGAAGGAAGAAAAGAGATAGGGAGGGAGGGAAGTGGGGAGGGAAAATGAAAACTGTCCCTTACATGGGCTTCCATAAGTCTTGCCATCACCGAGTCCCTACTGCTTACTATTGATTCTTCTAAATTTTTGAGCTCCCTAAAAAATCTCACCTTCACCTTGACCAGCCGAACCCAACCTACATTCCGGTGACCCCTGACAAGACTCAGGATTCGGGCCTAATATGTTAAACAGATTTGGGGCTGAACACGTGCAGAGCTGAATAGAAGTCTCTCGTGGCCATGCCTCTGACCTCTGCTCCTTCAACCTTCTTAAAATGGCATGAAGTAAGGCTGTGTATAAATACCTGCAGATGACACAAAGCTGGGAAGTACCATGAAACAACAAAAGCTAGAATCAAGAGGAATTAAATTCCAAGGTGGGGTTTAACAGAAATGTACATGTCATTAATTCTACAAGTGCGAATTCAGTGAAGTCCTCTTCCAGCCCTCGGCTCATCATGGCCTCCCTTGTTCACGCTTCCAGCCGCATGAAAGATCTAAGAGTGCCGCATAGACTCAAAATGTAGCATGTAACATTATTGAAGCAGCTCTTATTTTTATTCATTTATTTATTTTTTGCAGGGCTGGGGATCAGACCCAAGGCCTTGTGGATGTTAGACAAGTGCTCTACCACTGGACTATACCTCCAGACCTGAAGCAGCTATTTTTTTGTCCTTGTTTTATTAGCGCACATTTACAGTACATGATGGTCACATCCCTTGTGGGGAGATGGTACATGTACAAAACACGTCCCAGTTCTTTTTTTCCCTTTCCCTCCTCTCCTCCCCCTTCCCTCCATTTCTTGGCCCCCTTCCCATTTGCAAAAAATCTATCTCCCTATTAGCTGTCTTTTATTTTCCTCTTTATTTATACTTTTGGTTTCTCATATAAGAGAAACCATGCAGTGTTTAAGCTTGTATGTCCATTTCACTTAACATTATGGTCTCAAGGTACATCCATTAAGATGGGTGTGGTGGCTCATGTCTGTAATCCCAGCACTCAGGCGGCTGAGGCAGGAGGATCACCATGAGTGCTAGGCTACAAAGTGAGTAGCCTGTCATAGCAAGTGAGTAGCTGAGGCTACATAGCAAAACCTTGTCTCAAAAACAGGCAAAACAATGGAGGTGCCTCCATTTTCCTACAAACGATTCATTTATTCTTTATGGCAGGAGTAGTATTCCATTGTGTATAAATATCACATTTTCTTTATCCATTTATCTGTTGATGGACATATAGCTATGAAGCAGTTTTTTTGTTTGTTGGTTTGTTGGTTTTGGGGTTTTTTTTTTTTTTTTGGTACCAGGGATCAAACTCAGGTCCTTGTGCTTGCGCAGCAGGCAGCGAAACCACTGAGCTAAATCCCCGGCCCCTTTTTGGTTTGTTTTGAGACAGGTCTCACTATGTAGCCCAGGCTGGCCTTGAACTCACAGAGATCCTCCTGCCTCAGCCTCCTAAGTGCTAGGATTACAGGCCTGCACCACCACATCCAGCCTTGAAGCAGTTTTTTTTTTTTTTGGTACCAGGGATCAAACTAGGGTCCCTGTGCTTGCGCAGCAGGTGGCGAAACCACTGAGCTAAATCAGTTATTTTTAAAATAGATAATTCTGGACTGCTTTAGAAATTTAGCATCCACATTGCAGAAAAATTCCTATCGAACTCTATTCTTTTTTTTTTTTTTTGTACTAAGGGTTGAACCTAGGGCCTTTATACTAACCTACACCCCTAGTCCACTTTATTTTTTGGTACTGGGGATGGAGCTTAGGACCTTGCACTTGCCAGGCAGGCGCAGTGCCACTGAGCCACATCCCTGGCCCCTGGTCCACTTTTTGAGACAGGGTCTTGCTAAGTTGCTAAATTGCCCAATCTGAGTTCAAACTCAAAATCCTCCTGTCTCAGCCTCCCAGAGTGTTGGGACTTACTGGCATGCACTACCACGCCCAACTAGAACTCTGTTCTTAGTAGACTATCTTTAAAAATATGGGCCCCACTACTGGAGATCCGCTTTCAAAACACATGCTAATTTATTTTATTTTTTTATTTTTTTGTATCGGGGATCGAACTCGGGTCCTTGTGCTTGTGCAACAGGGGGCGAAACCACTGAGCTAAATCCCGGGCCCAACATGCTAATTTATTAAGAGGGACCATATTAAACTAACACATGTCCAGAAGGAAGCACCTGAATAAAAGGCCAGAAAGCATGTTGAATGAGGAACGGTTAAAGAACAAAGCCACAAACCTGGCTGATTAGGCCAGAGACAAGTAGCCTGTGTGCAGCAAGAACTGATTTCTCTTGGGACCCAAATCTACTCTTCTTACTCCTCTGAGTCCCAGAATCCTCGCCCTTCCCCCAAGTCTGTTAGGGGCACTGGGTCAGGGGAGCAGGGCAGTACCTATGGATTGCTTCTATTCCACTTCCGCCACTTGTTAAGGCCCTTCTCATCATCTTTATGAACAGTACGATACCATCTCATCTCTATTTTTAGTTTGGTTTTGGGGGGGGGGGGTTCGGTACCAGGGATTGAACTCAGGACCTTGCGCTTATGAGGCAGGCAGCGGAACCACTGAGCTAAATCCCCGGCTCTACTTTTAGTTTTAAGATGCTATGGTCCCAGGCTTTTGTACCAGAAAGAGTAGACGTGCAGTACTGAAACCAAGAGCTAAGTCAGTGGAGACCAGCCGGGTTGGTGGACACGAGTTACTGAAGCCAGAGGCTGATGACCAATTGTCGGGAGACTGTGAAGAATTCCTGAGCTGGGTGGGACCCGGGTCCTGTCCAGTTCTCAGCTCCTATGATTCATCCAGCTGGCAACTCCTCCAGGCTCCCCACCCGCTATTAGCATGTCCTTTGAAGCCGCCCGCTTCTCTTTTCCATCCCTTTCCCAGGAGCAGACCAAAGCACAGGACATTCTAGGTGCAGTGACCCTTCTGCTGGAGGGAGTGATGGCAGCTCGGGGACAGCTGGGACCCACGTGCCTCGCATCCCTCCTGGGACAGCTTTCTGGACAGGTCCGACTCCTCCTTGGGGCCCTGCAGGGCCTCCTGGGGACCCAGGTAAGTCCCAAGTTGAGGAACCTACAGACGCTGTCCTCCACCTCAGTCCCCCTAAGAAACCTGAGGATAGGGGGCCAGGGATTTAACTCAGTGGTTTCACCGCCTGGTGCGCAAGTGCAAGGACCCGAGTTCAATCCCTGGTACCAAAAAAGAAAGAAACCTGAAGAAGGAAAGGGGATCCCGGGATGGTGGGGGGAGAGGTGACCTCCCAAGGAGTGCTCCCTCCCAGCCACAGAGCCTAGGCGCTGGCACGAGGGAGGCCGGGGGTCTGGGCCTGGTCTCTGGCCTCAGGCCCATCCTCTGCCCTCAGCTTCCTCCACAGGGCAGAACCACAGTTCACAAGGACCCCAATGCCATCTTCCTGAGCTTCCAGCAACTTCTCCGAGGAAAGGTGCGTTTCCTGCTGCTTGTAGGAGGGCCCACCCTCTGTGCCAGGCGGGCCCTGCCCACCACCGCAGTCCCAAGCAGTTCCTCTCTGTTCCTCCCACTAAACAAGCTCCCAAACAGGACTTCTGCGTTGCTGGAGACGAACTTCAGTGTCTCAGCCAGAACTACTGGCTCTGGACCTCTGAACAGGCTGCAGGGATTCAGAGCCAAGATTCCAGGTCTGCTGAATCAGACTTCCGGGTCTTCAGATCAAATCCCTGGACACCTGAATGGGACACACAGACCCTTGAACGGAACTCATGGACTCCTTCCTGGAGCCTCACCCAGGGCCCTAGAAGTCCCAGACATTCCACCAGGAACTTCAGACACAGGCTTCCGGCCACCCCACCTCCAGACCGGATATTCTCCTTCCACGGCCCTTCCTCCTGCTGGACAGTACACACTCTTCGCTCCTTCACCCACCTTGCCCACACCTGTGGGCCAGCTCCAGCCCCTGCTTCCTGACCCTTCTATCACACCCAACTCCAGCAGCCCTCTGGCCGAAGCCCACCCTCACCCTGAGAGTGTGTCTCAGGAAGGATAAGGTGCCCAAGCACTGCCAGATGGGAGGGGCCCTGGCAGGCAACTGCAGCGCTACCAAACCTGCAACCCAAAGCCCCGGCAGAGGGGGCTGCACAGGACAGGAAAGGGGGCTGCTTTTCACTGTACATTATAAAACTTCAGAAGCTATTTTTTTAAGCTATTGACAATACGTATTCATCAGAGCAGCTAGTTATTGTTGGTCTGTTTTTTGTATAATTTTGCAAATCACATCTATGTGCTCTTTTTCATGATAATCCTCCAAAGGCTTGGCCTGGCCTGGCCTTTGAACAGAGGTAGATTAGCCTTGTGTCACAAAACAAGTGTGATTTTTCCTTTGCTTCAAGTTTAAGGCCTTCCAGAATCCTGTGCCCTTTACCATCATTCCCAGTGGGACTGTTTGCTCCTCTATTTTTTAGATCCTTACTCCGGATAAATGAGTAACAGGTGTCGATCAGAAAGGCTGTCCCTATATAAATATACAAAATGAGCTTGGAAAAGAATAAATTAAGAGTACCCTAAAGCTAACCAAAACGCAAGAGAAAGACACTTGTCACAGGAGGGAATAGGACCCACATCCTGACCCACTTCCCAGAAAAGCTAACAGGAACCCTTGGAGAGCCTCACACCCCAGGTAAGCCTGTGCAGACCTTTCAGTAAAGAGAAGACCCGCCTGCAACAGCTGAGCAAACAGCTAGCACTTGAGCAGCTCAGCAGGAGGCTTCGCCAGGCCTGGGCTCCTGCCACCCTCCTGTGGAGGTCAGGGGGAAGTGCAGGAAGTGGCAGGAGGTGTTCCTGAGCTGACACCGCAGGACAAACACAAGAACAAGGGAAGGCCCACTTCCCATTCCCACAAGTGCAGCGAAAACGCAACCTTGTGCAGCCACCGTGAACTCGGCCAGGGCATCCCTAAAAACAGGCAGGCCTCTGCAGCTCTGCAGAGCCTGCTACCTCCAGAGGCTCCTGTAGGAAACCAGCTGAAGATTTTCCCTCTCCCCACCCCAAAGGAAAGGAGAGGGTAGCATGTAGGTGGAGGATCCAGGAATTCAGAGTGCCAAACACTGCCTCAAACATCCCAGGACCCCTAAGGGCTTCCCAAAACAGTTGGGTGAACACCAGGAGCCCTATGTATATTCCCCTTTCCATGTTCACACAACTGTTTTTGTTTTTTGATACCGGGGATCGTGAACTACAGTCCTTGTGCTTGCGCAGCAGGCGGCGAAACCACTGAGCTAAATCCCCAGCTCACACAACTTTGTAAGGTAGGTATTACCATCTCTACTTTACAGACCAGGAAACAGGCTCAGTCAGACTCACTCTCAAGCCCATTCTGTCCCCACTGTGGTACCCTATCATTCACTGATTCTGATTACTGGGATGTTTCTAGTCTGTAGGGAGTAAGTGCATCACCTATTGAAGAGTTCTGAGTAAAAACCAAAGAGCTTGGTGGGGGTGGCCAATCCGGACATCCGCAGGTGCCTCCCCCCCGCCCCCCGAAGAACAGTTATCAGGGGGAAGGAATCAACAAATGCACAGAGCTGGGGGTGTAGCTCTGCGGCAGAACAAGTGCCTCGCCTGTGAGGCCCTAGGTTCGATCCCCAGCATTGAAAAAACAAAAACAGATATGCAAAGCTCAAAATGTTCTCCAAATCTCAGATGGTATCAGCAGGGGAGAATTAGTTCCACAGCACAAAATCTAGCATGAAGTTAAGGAAATGGTAACTGCAAACTATAATTTACTGAAATACTGAAGTAGGTTAAATTTTTTTGTTTTGTTATTTTGAGGCAGGGTCTCCCTTTGTAGTTCAGGCTAGCCCTGAACTCACTATGTAGCCCAGGCTGGCCTTGAACTCGAGGTGATCCTCCTGCCTCAGCCTCCTGAGTCCTGGGGTAACTAAGGTGTGCACCAGCACACCCGGCAAAGTAGGTTAAATTCAATAATCAACTTTGTGACATACAAGAGGCAGCACCCAGAACAAGGTATGTCAAAGAAACCAAAGATGTATGGTTCTCAGCACAGGAGAGAGGCAAGGGTAGGAAAACTGCAAAAGCAGCAGACAGTTCCAGGCATCTGATACCAGCGTTTGACTCACTCTAGTTCAGGGCACATGCAAATAAATTCTTGTGCTTCTTCAGTGTGACTGCAACTCCCCCTGGTTAATCTGACTTGGGCCAGGGATTTAGCTCAGTGGTTTCACCACCTGCCTCGCAAGCAGTTCAATCCCCGGTACCAAAAAAAAAATCTAACCTGGGCTGGGGATGTAGTTCAGCAGTTGAGCGCTTGCCTAGCAGGGCTGGGTTTGGTCCCTAGCACCAAAAACAAAAACAAAAAAATCACCTAACCTGAGGCTGGGGATATGTGGGGCCCTGAAATCAAGCCCCAAGCACCAAAGGAAAAACAAGAAAAAGGAATCTAACCCATTCCCAAATCATCCCATCTGGTTGATTCTATCCCTTCTTACACTTACACACACACACACCACACACACACAAAACTACAATGAGAACACTCATCCCTATTCTACTTTATAGCAGTTCTTTATTTGCCACCCCAGGTCAGCCCAAATCTGCTATCGTAGCCCACAAACTATTACTAGTAATTTGGTTCTCACACTTAACCTAAATCTGTCCTCCAACCCCTCAAAAGATGTGACCCATGGAAAAATTCTAAGATTCCATAAAAATGCATCCCGACCCTCTCTGGGTCTCCACCCCCACCACCCTCGGTAAGGTGAAAGAAACACCTTCCTCCTCCCCGCCAAGGCCATTCATTTTCACTCCATTTCCCTAAATACTGTTTCTACCATCTCCTGTGAAGACCTGAAAATGATCCCAGCAGGGATCCCAGCAGGCGCAGCAGGCCATCAGGAGACAACTGCTTAATACAGGGAATCTTTCTGAGCTATTATTACACCTTGGCGCTCCCAGGGGAAGAGTCCCAGAGAACTCTAACGCCAGGCTCAAGAGTCAGCTCACACACCCAGGCCCCTGTGACCATTTCCTTAACCTGTTTCTTTTCCGAACACTTATGAGTTAGTGACTACAGTCAGGCTGGGACACTGTCCTGGCCCTGGTGCTGGACTGCCAAGCTCATTGGTATTGCTGCCCTGTCCACCACACTGGTCTACTATGCAGCAGCTCCCCATTCGGTGCCACTGGGAAGAACCACCACATAGCCTCCCTCCCAGGTCACCCCAGGAGCGGACAACACAGACAGCTCCTCCACCTTCTTCCTCAGCCACCAAGTCTGCTCTTCCTTTCAACAGACTCCACGCCTGTGTCTAAGAGCCTCCATAAAAGCGAACATTTCCTAGCTATGCAAGTGACTCATTCACATCCACGTGAACCGACTCCTAAGAGACTGAAAGTGTTGGAAGGACATGAGCAGGGCTCCGTGCCAATCCAGACCTCTCTGCCAAATGGGTGGTATCTTCCGGGCCCAGGGTACTATCCTCAGGAGCCAAAGCACAACACCCTCCCAGATCAGAAACCCCACCGGAAGATAAATGTTGGGAAGTCAGCCAGGAGATGAAGATAACCCTAAACCGAAACCAAAAGGCTGGACAGATCCTGTATCGACACATGATCATCCAACTGTGGGCCAGAAACATACCACAGACAAATCGGGGAAAAACTATTTTAAAGAAAATGAAAGTGTTAAAAAGGGGTAGAAGTCTGAAAAAGTGAGGTTTTAATTTAAAAAAACATATACACAGAACAACTGCTGATTCGTCTTCAGCTCGCTCACTGGGTCTTTCACTGGCAAGTCAAGTCTTCCTGAGTCCAGGCTTGCTGAAGATGCACCACAGCAGAGAAAGCCAGTCCCTCCTCAACAGGGACCACAGCAACTTCTCCTCGGGCTTGAATGTCCAGGACCCGAGCGACCCAGCAGCAAAGCTGGCTTCCCACCAGCTTCAGAAGGCCAGTTTCTTCATTAGCAGATAAACTCTGGAATCCACCTCAAAGCCGTGCAGGTTGTTGGCATCACCCTGCAGCCTCATGAGCAGGCCCCCGTAGGAAACGTAGGCAGAGCTGAAACAGAAGGCCCGTCCTGTGAGTGTGAGCTCTGACACAGATGCCACCCAGCCGCTTTCCATCCCAGCGTGAGAGAGAGGAGAGGCACTGTCCAGAGGCTGTCATTAGGAGCTAAAAATTCAGACAAGGTGAATCCACAGATGTGTCCAAAGTGGTGTTTTATACTAGCAAAGGCAGAAAATAACTAACCCACAATTAGGAGGATGGTAAATGAATTATGATAGATCTATTTACTGGAATGTTCTACAGCTATTAAAATGTTTAGGAAAAGCTTTACTAACACAGGGAAATATGTTTTACAAACGTTAAGCAAAAAGGGAAGACGATGTAATGAACATGATCTCAAAGAAACAGACAAAAAAAAAAATCAGAATGCTGGACATGGGGCACAGGCCTATAATTCCAGCTATTCCAGAGGCTGAGGCAGCAGTATCACAAGTCTGAGGCCTGCCTGGACAACTCAGCAAGATCCTGTCTCAAAATAAAAAGGGCTGCAGCCGGGGATTTAGCTCAGTGATTCCGCCCCCTGCCTCAAAAGCACAAGATCCCAAGCTCGATCCCTGGTACCAAAAAAAAATAAATAAATAAACAAATACAATAAATATACTC